TGAGCTTTAGCAAAGGCAGTAAAAAAATGCAGTCTTGGGGGTGTTATTTTTTCATTTAACAGCCATTTGTGAGGTGCCTGCTGTGTGGCAGGGAGTGTGCTAGGTGCTAGAGGTTCCCCAGATATTACCAGAGGCACATTTTGCCTTAGGGTGGCAAGCCTCCTGCAATGGCATACAGAATGTGGATTTTTTAAAATGGGACCCTATTTGCCACATTCTTTTAATGGACTCTTGTTAATGTGTCATGTTTTCCTTTAATAAATCATTTAGGATTCTTGGGTGGTAGATGGAGAACAGTTCCAACAGCAGCTTTGGTCAAATGCATTTATAGCCACTAACCAACCTGCCTCCTGCAAGGAGTACAGGTGCCCCTTGTGACAGTGTAGAAGGGTGACTTACAGGCCCACAATTCTGCCAGCCAAAGGGCAAAACCCCATTTCAGAAAGGATGGAGTTCTGTGGGCTAGCTCAGAGCTGGGATCCACTTGATTCTGCCTGAGAGACCTGCACAAGTAGTTGTACATACAGCTCACAAAGACTTCGTAAGGCAGTTTTTAAGAAAACCGTACTTGGCAACACCAGGAGCAAATACTGGCGGCTAGCCCAGGTACCTGTCTGGGGAGGGACAGAGTCTCTGTCTGATCATGCTGAGTAGCAGGTGGGGCTATAGGGTCTGTGGAGGTAACCATTTAGCACAATGATAAAGAATTCAAGAATATTGTTAGAGCTCTTTCAAACCAGGCGGTTCACCGGCGCCATCCCAATTCAGAAGCCCTCAACATTCTCTCAGGGGGAGCAGGCAGGGTGGGTCGCTTGTCTGTGTTACCCCTCCAGGACATTCCTGGAGATTGCACAATGTACTCTACTCTCTACCCTTCCTGCTTCTACAGGTCCACTCTGGAATCCTATAAGATGTTCACTTGGGCAGCATTACTTCAGTTTGTTTCAGCTTTTGGTTGTTTGTTCAGTATGGTTTTAACCAATTGTTGGAGGATTCAGAAGCTTTTTAAATATGACAAAGAACCTTTGTAAAAATTGAGTAAAAAATAATGCCCCCTTTTCCTAACCAGGTTCACTTATGCTTAATTTACATAGGACTCTGGGGAGTTTGGATCATCCCCAGATGTTTCTGTTTTTTGTTAAAAACAGAAACCCAGCAGCACTCCTGGGAACATCTGGGACCTGTTTTCCATGTGGAAGTGGCACTAGCCCTCTAAACAATCCATGTGCTATATGCTACCTGTTGGACCCCAGCATGGAGATTTTGTGAAAGGTCATTTATGACTTTTATTTGGGGGTTATTTGGGGGTAAGGCATTATGGCCAGGTGAATGCTGTAATGCCTAGGTTACACATGAAACATAAACCTAATGAAATGTATGCTTGGTTCAAATTTCTTCAAGTTTAGAGGTGCTACAAAGGACTGTCATTTGTTGCCTCAGACAAAAGGCAGAAAGTGAGTATCATTTCAGAAATGTTTCAAGTATGCACAGTTGTAGTTGATGTTTTGATATATAGGTAATAATATGCACAGTGGAGAATATTTTCTGAAACAAAGAATGGCTGGAGGGAGGATACAGAGCCAGTAAGGTCGAAATGAACCTTCTAGAATGTCTTCTGATCTTTCAGCACATGGGAAGGATAGTGAACAAATTTCCCAACATGGTGCGATGCTCTATAGCACAATGATCTAGATTTCAGACTTTGTTAAGGTTTCTTTTTCAAAAATACTAGCGTGCATGGTGTGACTGGCAGATTGAGTTTAAAAGCTTTAAGAATGATTAATTGCATGGCAAGCACTCACGCTATCTGCACTTCCAGAATGTTATTGATGCATCCATGTACATTTCCACTGAGTAATTTTGGTGATGGGATGTGTGTGTTCCTCCTCACGATGTCACACGTATTAAAGTCTAGTCAGTCACTTCTAATTCACTTGCACTGTTTGGGAAATGCCAGGTTTACAAAGATACATGTTTGGAATAAAAATGGCTGCAAATGATTCAGAAGTTTGGTCTGTAATTTCTTTGCTTATAAGAACTTTTTAAGAGTTTCAGTGTAATACAAGATGCATGTTAAGAAGCATATTAGGCTCAGCACCTGTGGCTCAAGCAGCTAAGGCGCCAGCCACATACACCTGAGCTGGCAAGTTCAAATCCAGCCTGGGCCACCAAACAACAATGGTGGCTGTAACCAAAATATAGCTGGGCATTGTAGTAAGCACCTGTAGTCCCAGCTACTTGGGAGGCAGAGGCAGGAGAATCACTTGAGCCCAGGAGCTGGAGGTTGCTGTGAGCTGTGATGCCACAGCACTCTACCCAGGCCGACAGCTTGAGACTGTCTCAAAAAAAAAAAAAAGAAGCATGTCAAGTTCCTCCCATTCTACATGAACAGCCCACCTGATGTAGCTGAACTTCCTCCAAACTTTGACCTCCATACTGGTGGCCACCCACTTCTTTGTGCCTTACCCACCTGCCCAAGATATACCTAGGAGCTTGATCTTGAGCTAAATGTGCCCAAATTAAATAGGGCAGATTCCTCATTGTTAGTAGACTTCTTCCACTAGTCACTCAGCATTTTTTCAGAAGCTTTTTGGTAGCATTCTTACACATTTACAGATATAGTATTCTCTTAGATTTTTATTCTCCTTCATCTGTCTGGTTATGTCCTCTTATCCCAAATGTTATTCATTTGTGGTTTTCTTTTTTCTCTAGATAAAATCAACAAAGTTCTATTTATCTTATCAGTTTTTTAAATAATAAGCCTTTGGCTATACCAATCAAGTCTATGGGCTTTTGCTCTGTATTTCATTAATTACTATTTTTATATTTATTAAAATTTCATATTCTGCCTTTATGGATAAAAATCACACACATACACACCACACAGTATACAAAAGGTATGAAACAATACAGAGGGGTTAAAATTGGTTATTTTTAGGTGGACAGGATTGTCAGTGTTTTTGCTTTGATTTCCATGTTGTTTTTACTTTACTTATCTAAATATTAGTTTTCTACAGTAAGCAGAAAACTGTTTTTCTTTTGTAAAAATGACACATGCAAATTATTTTTAAATAAAATTACACCTGGAAGGGTATGAATTGCCAAGGCAAAAGAGATCTCAAATTGTAGGTGTGGAAGG